AGAGAGAGAGAGAGAGAGAGAGAGAGAGAGAGAGACAGAGACACAGAGAGAGAGAGAGAGAGAGAGAGAGAGAGAGAGAGAGAGAGAGAGAGAGAGAGAGAGATCAACGATTGTCACTTTCTGATCTCCCTGCATGAATGCATCTCCACCTTCCCTGTGCTTCCTCTGCCTCCTCCGTTCTTTCCCCCTCCTCCTTCCCCCGTCTTTTTTTCCCCGCTTCCCTGCCGCGGCGCCGCCGCGGCGGGTCCCCTTGTATTTATAATATGTGTATACATATTTTTGATTATGTACTATATGTTGATTTTGTTTTTTTTTGCAGTGATTATGCGCTGTCTATCGTAATGGTTGGAGTTGGTGATGGACCTTGGGATATGATGAAGGCCTTTGACGATCATCTGCCGCAGCGCGCATTCGACAACTTCCAGGTATGGCATACACATGAGGAAAACTTTTCTGGTTCACTTCTTTCTTTCTTTCTTTCTTTTCTTTTTTCTTTTTTTTTGGGGGGGGGGGAGGGATGATCTCTGCCTTTTTCTGTTTTCTCAACTTTGGGGAAAGTTTCGGAAAAAATGTTGTTGTCAACAAGCTTTTTTTTTTCCGAAACTTTCAGTTTTCACCGATTAATTTTGCACAAAGTCTCTAAAAAAAAAGCGCACCCTTCTGACCATAAAACAAATCCCTCCATCTTCAGAATTTGTCAATAAGCCCCCGACTTCTCACCCACCGTGTTGTACCTGTTGTCCCTATCCTTCATGTTGTCTCCCTTGCTCCAGTAGCGAGAAATGGAATAGGAGGAGGAGGAGGAGCAGGAGGATCAGGAGAGGGGGGAGTAGGAGGAGGTGGAGTGGTTCTAGGAGGAAGAGGTGGAGGAGGAGGAGGAGGAGGAGGAGGAGGAGGAGGAGGAGGAGGAGGTGGAAATCCAATGTGTGGATGTACTGACGAGATTCCCACTGTCCCTATTTTTCCCATCCTTTGAGCTGCCGGGACATTATACCTGGCACCTGGTTTGGTCGCCATGCCAACCCCCTTGAGCTTAGGCCTCAAGGAGGGCTACTTGGTTGAAGTTAGTGTCTGGGTACACCGGGAAGCAGGTCCCACTAGCCGAAATCCTTCACTTGTGACCGTAGATCTCTGCAATCTGCGGTTGGAAATGAAGGATACAGGTAAGTGGGACTTGGCCCCGGGTCATGCGGTATGTGATGTACTCACCATGCTGGGGTGACATTGAACTTCAGTTTCATCCCAGCTCGCTCTGCCTTGTGGTAGGCGTTCTGATTTTTTCAATTAGCGGATCTTGCAGGTTCGATGCCTGGAGGGAGCAATTGCGATTTTCAGATGTCGCTTCGAAGGCAATGGTGGCAAGATGAGCATCCTTTTTCTTTTTTTTTTTTTCTTTTTTTTTGCGAAACACAACTAAGGGAACGGGCTTGGAAGAATTGGTGGGGTAGGAAAAAAGACCCTGTTGAGCTTGTGACTCTAGTTCGACCTGTGAAATTACTTGAGAGGTGCAACAAAAAGAAAAGAAAAGACTCGGGAGTTGAAGAATACGTGGACGGTTTATAGCGCAAGTGAATACCAACGCTTTTAAAGTCAATTAAAAAAAAAGAAAAGAAAAAAAAAACGGACAGTTAGGAGCAATCCGGACCATTGTCAGGATGGAAGTGCAGATTTGTCTTTCTTGTGTCCGGGGTCATTGATGACAGAAACAAACAATGATGGGAGTTGTGGTAGCCGTTGCTGATGTTGTGTTTGCAGTTGTTGCATCTGCTGTCATGACTGGTCATTGCTGTTGCCGCCATTTGTATTGTCTTCTTATGTAGTTCTCTATGTTCGTAATACCTCTCGTCAATGTTGTCATTATTTTCGTCCCTATGACCCTGATGTTCTTGTTCTCGTCGTCATCAGACAATCATGATAGCGGGTGTCCTTTTCACTGCCGCTCGTAGTGTCGTTGTTGTTCTTGTTGTTGTTGTTCTTGTTGTTGTTGTTGATTCGCTATCGTTGTCGTTGTTGTAGTCACTATCGTTGTCGTTGTTGTAGTCGCTATCGTTGTCGTTGTGGTTGTTGTTCTTGTTGGTCACCAGCATAGTGATGGTGGTTGCTTTTGCTACTGCTGCTGTTGGATGAGGCACAGAACCCTCAGAGAGAGAGAGAGAGAGAGAGAGAGAGAGAGAGAGAGAGAGAGAGAGAGAGAGAGAGAGAATGGCAGTGCATGTTCCGCATTCTCGCAGGAGATTCATTCTCTCTCGAAAAGCGCAAAATGAGAATGAATCTTCCCTCGTTCTCGCAGAGCTGGACAGCCAGTCGGACATCCAACGAGCCAGAATTGTCATGTCAGGAAGCTTGGACACAACTTCAGTCCCAGATATCTGGAGCCAGACAGCTAGCCCCTTTCATGACAGGTGGTGGTCCCCATCTTGAGTTCTTCAATTTGGATGTCTCCAACCACGCGGTCTATAAATATTAAATTTGCTTCCAAAATACAAAGTTGGATGAATCTGGAAAATTCAGGAAATCTACTTTGCACTTGGGCTACCAGCTGGGCGGCCCGGGTCACCTTGTTTGACCGGGCGGCCCAGTCGTGCGAGGACCAGCGAAGGGCCCAGCAAAAACAACAACAACAACAAAAAAATCCAAAAGATCTGAAAAAAACCCTATGATATGCAGAAAAATAAACTGAACAACTTTTGCCTCAGAGTCACATTGAAATTCTTTACCAAGTTTGGAAAAAACAAATAATCAAAACAAAAATATATATTATTAATATTGTAATAATTATTATTATTATTTATTTTATTATTTTTGTTGAAATTTTGTTTTCTTGCCCGACCGGGCAACTTGACCGGGGGCCAAGTCCCACTAGCAGCGTTGAGCTACCTCAACGCCTGAATCTAGATGCTTTTGCGGAGATGTGCAGAAATGGTGTTGAGTTTCCTGAACTTCACGTCTCCACAAACACGCCCACATTCAGGCGTTGAGGTAGCTCAAGGCTGCTAGTGGGACTTGGTCTCAGGGAGCCTCTGGTAGCCTGGGCTTTGTAACAATTACTTTTTATTTTTTTCAGGTTTCAACTTTCAAGTCTTATTGTTTTTGTGGCCCTCATTGGAGCTATAGTAGCGGGATGTATGGGTCCTCCAAAACCGCTTCCTTGAAAACCGCTTCCTCGAAAACCGCTAGCATATGGACCTCGTTCCACTGCACAACATTCTGAATGTATATGAAGCGCGTAACGGCCCCAATACATTCGGAATGGTGGATCAGTCCGGATGGATCTGGTCCGCATTGCAGTCCATATACATGTAGAATGTTGAGTAGAGGATGGTGGCCCTATGTCTAAACTTCTCTAAAGACTCTAATGTTTGTCTTTTGCTTCTGTGTGCAGTTTGTGAATTTCACTGAGATTTCATCGAAGCCGCTAACTCAGAAGGAGAAGGAGCTGAAATTTGCCGTTGCGGCGCTGATGGAGATACCCTGTCAGTACCAGGCAACTGTGGACATGAGACTTTTGGGGTAGGTGGTGGTACCACAGAGGCTGACAGAGCTGTGTAGCACACCTAACATGGTCAGAGCTTTTCTGAACGCTGCCTCCTGAACATGTTCGGGTGTTCGGCCGAAGGCCTCCCAAATGTGTTCGGTAGAACATATTTAAAAAAAAAAAAAATCATGATAAAAAAATTAAAAATTCTTAATTGTTTTTGGATTTTTTATTTTTAACTCGAGTTTGGTTACGAATTTGAGCATACCTCCCAGGCAAAAGTTGTTTGTATTATTATTGCGGACATCACCGGACCCGGACAGTGCGGACCGGTGTCAGGGGGCGCAAAATGTCTGGACCCAAAAAAAAAAAAAAAAAAAACGGGAGAGGGGGGGGGGGGGGGGGGGGGGTGCGGGGGGCCGCTGTTGGCAGGCACCTAGTACCTGCTTTGCGCTTTTTTGTAGTTCAGGCAGCAGAGCACCTGTCTTGCAGCAAATCAAGTTAATCAACAAGCACATTCAACTAGTAGCAGACATGCAGAGTTGCAAACAGTGCACAGCAGGCACAAGACAAAAGAAACAGAGAAATGTTTTTTTTGAAAAAACTAAGTATGATTAACTTTGAAGTTTGAAGTTTGAACTTTGAAGTTTGAATTAAGTAATTTAACTTATGCAAGTTCATAATATCTTCATATGACTTAAAAGTTCGAAGTTCGAAGTTCGAACTTTGCAGGTCAATTCAGAACGTCAGTCTTCAGACTGGCAGAACTGTGAGTGCTGTGCTCTCTCTCTCTCTCTCTCTCTCTCTCTCTCTAATGGGCAGCAGCGGCGGGCGGCACGTTGAAAGGGCCGCTTTGAAAGTGCTCGGGCCTGTGTGAAACCCGCCACCACCAAAACCTGCAGTGTCTTGTGTCGGGACCTCAAGCCCCTTTCCGGTGGGGTGAAACGACACAGAAAAATCACCCCGTTATTTTTCAAGGGGCGGCCAAGACCCGAAAAACATCCTGGGACGCCCCTTTTTCTTTTTGATTTTTGCCCTGGGGGCCTCCATCCGGACATCACGGACCAGACACGGGACCCGGACATGTTGTTCCGGACTGTCCGGAACCCGGTCCGGACGTCCTGTCGGTTACCTTGCTAGGAATCCTTTTTTTTTTTTTTTTTTTTTTTTTTTTTGAAATTACGCTTGTTGTCCTTGCGCAGGGGCCATGCTCATCTTCTCTGTCCGAGCGTTCCCCCTTATTTGCAGCACTCAAAGAGCCCTCCTTTCGGCCATAACCTCACTTCTCTCTCCTCGGTTGCAGCGGCCATTCTCGTGAACATCCATCCCCATCACGGATGTTGAGATGAGAATGCAATCTCTACTTTGCCTCCTGTCCCATCTAATTGGCATGAAAACCATCCAGGCAGTGACAACTTCTCAAAAAAAAAAAGAAAAAAAAAAAAAAAAAAAAAAGAAAACCATCCAGGCAAAACAGGCCGTCCACACGGCACCGCACCCTGGTACCTTCCCCGCCCGACGCAGACAGAGCAGTGCTGCCTTGCGCAAAAATGAAAAGGCAGGGAGAAGTACTGGTGGTTTTGAGAAGCATTCTTAAGCTGTGATCAGATAAAAGCTCACAAAAACACCAAAAAGTAATAAAAACGCACAAAAACACCAAAAGTACGTAAAAACCGTAAAATGCAGATTTCAAGATTTGCTACCAGCTGGCCTAGCTCAGTTGGTACGCCCCTGAACCCGGCGAAACACAGACCTGAGTTTGAATTCCCCCCCCCCCCCCCTCCCAATGGAACCAAATGAGGAAAATACTTGGGGTATGATCATAGCTCAAGCTTGGTCGGCCGTTAAAAGAAAAAAAGTGCAGATTTAAAAAGATTTTAAACATTTCCTTTTCTCAGTTTTCTGCCTGTTTTTGCATTTTTTTTCTTCTTTTCCTGGTGTGTTCTTTGGTGCTGTGTATTGTCCTCATCATCTTTGATCTGACCGAAATCTTTTGGAAATTGTCATGTCATGTGATCAGCCGGCGGACGGGAAATGCGCCTATTCGGGCACCCCTGCCGCCTCCTACAGCTGTGCTGCAGGCTGATATGCGAAGGGAACTTCGGTCGGATCCGTATCGGGTTCCGTTCCCAAGTCCCTATCCCATGCCTTATGGGCCCTTTGGTCCCCACCCAGCCGCAAGAGACCAGCCGCTTCCACCTGCACCACGCATGGTTAATCCGCAAGTTTCGTGGCCTGGAGATCCAACGGGAGATGGGCTGGTAAGTGAACCCCTTTTTTTTTTTTTTTTTTTTTCCACTGAGATTTTTGTTGGTTAAATTTTAATAATTAATATATTAATAAGAATGGTAAAAGTTTTCTGGCCGTTGTGACTGTGGTGTGTTTTTTTCTATGGTTGGGGTCAAGCCTGGCCAGTGACCCTGGCTCATCCCAGCGACTGCAGATGATGATGTGAGGGACGCTTCCCAGCTTGTAAAACGGAAAGACTCCTTTGGTGGGTGGGTGGGTGGGAGGGAGGGAGGAGAAGGTTCTGAGATGTCAGGGTTACAAAATTGACAGTTGCCATTTTTATTTTATTTTATTTTTTAAGTTCCATTGAATCCATTTCCATTTGCCCCTTCCATCCAGTATAGGATGTCTAAAGGGGGCGGAAGGTCAGTCTGGTTTCTTTGTTAATTTATTTTATTCTGAGTGGGGATCCGGGCCGCCCGGGTGGCCGGCAGGGGCGCGGGGGAGGTCCCGGGCGGCCGGGCAGGGCACCCGGTTGGGGGTCGGCCCCCCCCAGCGCACTCACCTGTTGGGGGATTTCGGACCCTCTTCGTGTGTGTGTGTGTGTGTGTGTGTGTGTGTGTGTGTGTGTGTGTGTGTGTGTGAGAGAGAGAGAGAGAGAGAGAGAGAGAGATGTTCGAATCATACTTGCAGCGCATCTCATGCACGGGGTACCGCACGCACATGCACGCACGCACAAGTGATGCGGCACATTAAAAAAATAGAAAAACAAAAATGTCCTAGTTGTGCCCAGCCTCTTTTCGGAAGAATCCCTACAGCATATTAGATAGGACCCGACGTCATACAGAGATAGATTTCAAACTTGTACTCCCTGAGGGTGGGCAGAGAATATATAGTCTGGATTCGAATTCAGGTCTGTGCATGTCGGTTATGGGTCACCATTTCTCTGTTTTCTCGCTTTTCTTTTCTTTTCTCGTTTTTCTTTTCTTAGGAATACGTGCAGTGGCCCTAAGGGCCTTTACTCACAAAATGAACGACAAAACATATGGTGGCGTATTATTCCACATTCTGCAGAAGATTCATTCTAATTTTGCACATTTCGCGAGTAGTGCAGCCAAGTCCTAAGAGTCACATGCAGAGACCAACAGGCCCTAGTTACGTGAGCAACCCATAACTGCTGAAACACAGACCTGAATTCGAATCTTGAGTATATATTCGGTGAGCTCGTGCTCTATTTCATATTCACTCCCTGCCTCGATTTTGGTGGGGGGGTCTGCGCTACATGTCTGCGAGGACCCTTCAGACAGCCTGCCTGGGCTGTCTGAGCCGTGTTAAGGGGATCCGTCCTCTCTCTCTCTCTCTCTCTCTCTCTCTCTCTCTCTCTCTCTCTCTCTCTCTCTCTCTTGTGCGCGCCCCCCCTTGTATACACACACACCCCTTACAAAAAAAAAA